AGCAAGGGTGTGGGGACGGAGGATGGGGATTTGGGGGCAGTGGGGCAGTGGGGTGAAGGTTTGGGGACATTGGGGTGGGAGTTTGGGGTGGTGGGGATATCAGGGTGAGGGTTGGGGAGCCTGGTTGAAGATTTAGGGGGAGTGGGGGGGCATGGGGACACTGGGGTGTGGATTTGGGGACGTCAAATCAAGAGTATGGGGATGTGAGGGGTGAGGAGGGGACATGAGGATGAGGATTTGGGGGCAGTGGGGTGAAGGTTTGGGGGGCACAGGGATGGGAAATGGGGACATGGGGGTGTGGATTTGGGGGCGTTGGATCGAGGTTTTGGTGGGCAGCAGAAAGATGAGGATTTGGGGACATCGAGGTGGGGGGACAAAAGAGGCTCTGGGGACGTCGGGGGGGGGGGGGGCAGTTGGGGGTCCCCGGTGGGAATTTTTGGGGAAGGTTGGGGACAAAGGGGGGGGGTCCTGACCCCATCCTCCCTCCCCAGAGCTGCCTCCAGAGCTCTCTCCAGGGGGGTCTCCTCTGTCCCCTCCGCTGCCATCCCCCGGCGGGGGCTCAGAGCTGCGCTTCCACCGGCGCCATGGGGCCAACGCTCTGCTCACCAACGGCGGCCGCACGGCGCTGCGCCAGAACTGCCGCGCTGAGTTCAACGACGCCATCGTGGTCTCCAACAGGTCGGCACCCCATGAAACGGGGCTGGAACCCCCTAAAATGGGGCTGGGAGCTCGTAATCTGAACCTACATCCCATCATCTTAATGTGAACCCCCCTAATCTGGGGCTAAAGCTCTGTCATCTGATCCTAGGAGCCCATAATCTGGCACTAAATCCCATAATCTGACTGAACCCCCCATAATCTGTCACTAAACCCCCATAATCTGGCATTAAACCCCATAATCTGGCACTAAATCCCATAATCTGACTGAAACCCCCATAATCTGTCACTAAACCCCCATAATCCGTCACTAAACCCCCATAATCTGGCATTAAACCCCATAATCTGGCACTAAACCCTATAATCTGGCACTAAATCCCATAATCTGACTGAAAACCCCATAATCTGTCACTAAACCCCCATATTCTGGCACTAAAACCCATAATCTGACACTAAACCTCCATAATCTGACTGAAACCCTCCATAATCTGACACTAAACCCCCATAATCTGACACTAAACCCCCACAATCTGGCACTAAACCCCCACAATCTGGCACTAAACCCCCATAATCTGGTACTAAACCCCCATAATCTGGCATTAAATCTCATAATCTGACTGAAAACCCCATAATCTGTCTCTAACCCCCAATAATCTGGCCCTAAACCCCATTATCTGTCCCTAAAGCCCCATTATCTGGCCCTAAACCCCAATAATCTGCACCAAACCCCCATAATCTGAGACTAATTTGCCATAATGTGAGGCTTAACCCCCAACATTGAACACTAAACCCCCATTATCTGACATTAAACCCCATAATCTGGCACTAAACAACCATAATCTGACACTACGGCCCCATAATCTGGCACTAAGGCACCATAATTTGACACTAAACTCCATAATCTGGCACTAAACTCCCATAATCTGACTTTAAACCCCCATAATCTGACTGAAAACCCCCAGAACCTGGCACTAACCCCCATAATATGGCACTAAACTCCCATAATCTGGCATTAAGGCCTCATAATGTGACCCTAAATCCCCATAATCTAGCACTGAACCCCATAATCTGACTGAAAACCCCCATAATATGACCCTACACCCCAATAATATTGCAGTAATCCCCATAATCTGACACTAACCCCTATAATCTGACTGAAAGCCCCAATAATGTGACCCTAAACCCCCATATTATGGCCCTAAACCCCCATAATATGAGATTAAACCCCCATAATCTGGCACTAACCCCCATAGTCTGAGACTAAATTGACATAATTTGACTGAAAACCCCCATAATCTGGCACTAAATCCCCATAATATGACTGAAAACCCCCAGAACCTGGCACTAACCCCCATAATCTGTCACTAAATCCCCATAATCTGGCACTAAACCCCATAATCTGATACTGAATTGACATAATCTGACGGAAAACCCCATAATCTGGCACTAAGCCCCATAATCTGACACTAAGACTCCATAATGTGATCCTAATCCCCCATAACCTGGCCCTAATCCCCCATAACCTGGCCCTAAACCCCATAACCTGGCCCTAAACCCCATAACCTGGCCCTAAACCCCCATAACCTGGCCCTAAACCCCATAACCTGGCCCTAAACCCCATAACCTGGCCCTAACTCCTGCATCATCTGCCCCGATGGCCTCAAATGTGCTCCTGGGACCCCAAAATGTCATCGTCCCCCCCCAGGGCGCTGCGGGACGGGGAGCTGTTTGAGATCGTCATCCAGAAGATGGTGGATCGCTGGTCGGGGTCCATCGAGGCGGGTGAGGGGGGGGGGACGGGGAGGGGGC